GAGCTTCTTCCCTCTATCGTCTTTTGCATTGTGCCAGTTATCAGTTCCAAGACACGGATAAGAAGGAAAGGAAGGATATTTATGTTATAGTTAGAATATTAAATGTAACATTGTTCATTTAGTATGTATATGATATTTAGAATGCTCTCCCCTTTCCAGCCCAATTCTCGTTTGTAGGTGAAGATTGTGCCGTGGAAAATGGCACCAATACAACAAGCAAGCATGACCTCATGTACGAAGCTCGGATCCAATCAAATCAGGCCAAGAACCTTCTGGCATTGCCGCAAGATACGGGGGCATTATGGTGGCAATGTATTCTAAACAGCGGGAATATCGCCTTTTCTTGAAATCGGGATGGTAAGTCGCAGGCGTGGGAGGAAAGACTCCGGGTAAAGTTTCCTTTCTCTCCGGTTTTTGTCCTTCCTAGGCTTAGTCCTAGAGGATGCCCCCGTATCTTGCGGGTAGCGCCAAATTCTCTTTCCCCGTTGTTGCTAAAGCAGCAGACTAATAAGAAACACTAATTTGTTCTATGCATTGAATAGCTCAGCAAGTCGTTCCACTGCCCACTAAATGTCTGAGTATTCGAATGCAAATGCACTCCAATAAACCACAATAATTCCTCAGAGCAGATCTTTTCTTTTCAACCTTTCACGAATTCTCAGATTTTTATCGGAACATCCATGTCCAATTTCTCCTCTGAAATTTCGCCTAGTCATCTTCTTTATTGCATCATGTTTATGACTGCTTTCATCGTAAAACATCGTTTTCATTGGATTTGTCACGCAACGCAGGGGAGCTGACAGAATGCCAAGTCCACCGTACCTGATGCAGAATTGGACCAGTGAAAATCACTTCCATCGTTCTCCACTTTATTGAATGGCTTATTGCTGAACAACTTGGCTATTATGCGGTAATGGATTTTTGAGGTAATGGATAAGCCATTTCATAACGGTACTTGACGGGTTCGAACTGATTTATTTTATTGAGGAGAAAAAGCCAAGAACGATGAGGGGCTAAGCCATGAAGAAGTATTTCACTGTAAGGTCGAAGGTCAAAGAAGGGGAAGCTCACCTAGCGGAAGGGAAGGCAGGCCCTCTAAGGGTCCGCCTGCCTTTCCACTAGACCAACTAACGCAGACTCTCCAAGGGTTCCCTTG